ACGCTGAAACCCCATCTCTGCTAAAAATACAAAAAAAAAAAAATTAGCGGTGGGTGGTGGCTGTCTTTTGTGTTTCTAGGTAGTCTGGGGGCTGAGGCTGGCTAATGGCTGGGGGCAGGGGTTGGAGTTTGCTGTGATGTGCGATTGGCCTCTGGCCTGGGTGCTGGGTTGCGGCGTGATCTCCCATCTCTAATATTTATTAATTAAATAATAAATAAAAAGAAATTTTCAAAACTGCATCAAAAGTAAAGAGAAAATCTGAATAGAACTGTACACTAAGTCAGTAATTTAAAAACCTTCTCACAAGGAAATGCCAAAACCCAAATATGTTCACTGGTGAATTCTATCAAATATTTCAAAAGCTCTGTCAGACAAGAAGAGTGGAGGGAAGACTTTCCAGTTCATTTACAGACCTGGCATTACCCTCATATCAAAGTCAGAGCAAGACTCACAAGAAATGAATACCAGAGACCAGTATCAGCAATAAACACAAATGAAAATGTTCTCAACAAACATTGGCAGACAATAAAATGCCACATAAAAAAGGATTATACTCCATGACCAATGAGATTCATCCCAGGAAAATAAGGTTGGATTAATATTTGAAATCAATGAATGGAAAGCACTGTATTAATGAAGTAAAAGATATAATTATCTCAAAAGATGCAGAAGAAACAGTTGACAGGTATGTTAACACCACTCATGTTCGTAAGTTTCAACAAAATAGGAATGGAGGGGACCTTCCTCACTCTGATAAAGGGCATCTATAAAACACCCACAGCTAAAATCATGCTTAATGAAGAAAGACTGAATGCTTTTCTCCTAAGATGGGGATCAATGCAAGGACGTCCAGTCTTCCACTTAACATTGTACTTCCACTTCCACTTAACGTTGTACTGGAGATAGTAGCCAGTGCGCTAAGGTAGAAAATTAAAAATTAAAGACATCCAGATAAAATGGAAAACATAAAACTCTATTCACAGATAACATGACCTTGTCTGTACAATTCACAAGCAGATAAAAGTCTGCTAGCACTAAGAAATGAATCCAGAAGGGCCCATAGTATATAAAATCAATATAAAAATTAATTATTAACATATTTATCTATACAAGCAATGAAAATCTCAACTTTCCTATCACAGTAGTTACCAAAAGGGTGAAATAGAAATAAATTTAGGAAAGGAGCAGTGTTTGTTCACTGAAAATAAAAAAACATTACTGAGAGAAATTAAAGGTCTAAATAAATGGAGAGATGCGGTTGGAAAGCTCAATAATATTGTTAAGATGGCAGTTCTCCCCTAATAGATCTATAGGTTCAACACAATTGGTATCAAAATCCCAGTAGATATTTCATAGAAAACTGACAAAATAAGCCTAAAAATGTATATGAAAATGCAAAGGACGCAGAAGTGCCAACACAAATTTGAACAAAAAAAAGGAATGTCATATAAAACTATAAAAATCCGGACAGTATGGAACTGAGAGACATAGAGATCAATGAACAGAAAGGAACAGAAGTGAAAATGTAGAAAGACCTTCTTACAAATTTTTTTTTTTTGTCAATTGATTTTCAATGAAGTTGCATAGGTAATTCAATGTGACACTTAACACCATATAAAATATCAGCTCCAACAAATTAGAGACCTATAGAGCTAAAATTTATGAGTTAAAACTATAAAATTTCTAAAAGAAAATATAAGAGAAAATTTTTGTGACTTTGGGTAGTTAGGCAAAAGATTCTTAGATAAAAATACCAAAAGCTTGATCTACAAGTGAAAAAAAAAAAGAGAGATAGAGAAATTGGGCTTAGTTAAAATTTAAAACTTGAGTGCTCCAAAAGACGTAATTGAGAAAATGAGAAGACAAGCCATAGACTGGGAGTAAATATTTCACAATTTATCACAAATCACATTTGCGATGAAGAACATGTATCCAGAACATGTGACAAGTTCTTAAACTCAATGTAAGACGACAAGCAACTCAACTGAAAGTGAGCAAAACATACAAATATGCTCAACTGACTTTTACAAAAGCACCAAAGCAATTCAATGAAGGAGGGAGAGCTTGCCCAATGAATGGTGCTGGAGCAACTGGACAACCACAGTGGAAAAACCCTGAGCCCAAATTTCACACTTTATACAAAAAATAACTCAAAATGAATCACAAGCTTTAATGCAAGACACAGAGTTAAAATGGCAAATATTGAGCCGGGCCTGGTGTCAGAGACCTGTACTCTCAGCTACTCGGGAGGCTGAGGTGGGAGGATCCCTGGAGCCCAGGAGTTCAAGGACAGCCTAGGCCAAATTTTTTTTTTCTAAAATAAATAATAAATAAATTAAAAACTTTAAATTACAACCTTTGAAGAAAAAGTCATCAGAAATAAGACTGGACAAATTCTTTCTTTCTTAGCCATAACACCAAAAGTATGATCCATAAAAGAAAAAGTTAATAAATTGGATCTTATCAACATTAAAAACTGTTGCTCTGTGAGAGACCTGTGAAGAGCATAAAAAGATAAGCTACAGCACAAGAGAAGATATTTACAGACAACATATTCTGTAAAGACTTGCACTCAGAATGTATGAAGAAATTTAAAAACCCAACAGTAAAAATGAAATCCAAGTACAAAACAGGCAATGAGCAAGACATGAACAGACATTTGTCTGAAGAGGATAAACACTGGGCTAACAAGCAAATGAAAAGACACTCAACATGATTATCCAGCAGGAAAAATACAAATTAAAACCACAATCATGAGAATGGCTGAAATACAAAATAAAGGTAACAACAGGTGCTGGCAAGGATGCAGAGAAAGTGGGTCACTCTTATATTGCTGATAGAAATGGATTTTAAAATGGGACAGCCACTCTGGAAATGGGTGTTGCAGTTTTCTTCAAACTTAACATGCAATTTACCTTATGACTAGCAACTGACCTCCTAGGCACTTATTTCAAACAAGGGAAAACTTTATGTTCACAAAACACCTGTACACAAATACTCTTGCAGCTTTATCCATAACACCTTCAACCTGAAAATAATGAAATTGTCTTCCAGTGGGTGAAGGAGATCTGCTGGTTGAACTCATAACTGAGTCAACACAAGTGCCTTTCCTCAAGGCTACCATTGTACTTCTCTGTGTAGTAAGGGTTTTATGCATATTTCCCACTTTCTCTCAAATAATATTAAAGACATGTACTGAGGTATCAAAATCTAATAAACATACATTTTTCCTGCTCCATCAAAGATAATCTGAAGTGGGACTGTGGTTTGGAGCCACTGCCTGGTTCTGCTAAGGTGCTGGCTGTGTTACTTACCGTGGCATTTGCAACATTAATGGAAAAGTCAACATAATGAAACAGGCAGATGGCATCTTGGTATTTCTGTGAAAACAGGTTTCCCTCCAGGACTCTCTGAAGGCAGCTCGGGGGATACACTTTCAAAATGGCAAAGATCAATTATGGTTCCTAGTGGGACACAACCCCTAGCCTATTCCAGTTCAGCTCTCTCTCTCTCTCTCTGTTTTCCCTCATTCTTCCAACTTATAAATGTATAAATTTTCAAATGTGCAAAGAAGCGGAAAGAATAGTGCAGTAAAATTAAAGTTACCACTCTGCCATATTTGCTTAACATCTCTTTATATACATGAAAGCAGCATGTGGAATGATGGCCAATAGTGACCCAGAAGGGTAAGGGTGGTTGGCAGTGGGTGTATGATGAGAAGGGTTTCTTGGTGGGTACAATGTGGCCGGCTCCAGTGACGGATGCACTGAAGGCCCTGACTTTACCACAACTCAATATAGCAACGTAGCGAAATTGCACTGGTGCCTCATGAATGTATACGAATTTACAAAATAAAAAATAAAATAACATATCTCTTTATAGATACAGGTAGGTGTGTTTGTATAGCATGTGTATGAATATGTGTGTGTGTATGAGTGTCTGTGTGTGTGTGTAGAGAGGCAGCACCAATGAAGATTGTGTGACTGAGCCATTCTAAAGGAACTTAAACATAAAACACGCATGGATAAATGTGTCTGTGACAACAAACATGAATACAAACATGAAAGAATATATCTATAAACACATCTCTGGATAGATGGCTTATGAACGAATTCCCTACCCCAGCTCCCTTACTGGTTACCCTGTGAGCACAGGCAGGCAGGAAACAGGACCCAGCTAGGGTTCCTAATCTTTCTCTTGCATCCAGGCAGGTTCTGCATCTGCTACTGCTACACAGGGGGCTCCCATCCCTGTCTTGGTCTGTTTCACAGGTGATCCCCTAACACTCTCTGCCTCCACTGCTTTACCTGGGTAGAGCTGAGGCTGCCCTGACCAAGAACAGCACCACCCACCTGTGCCCCCAAAACCAGGAAGTTAGGAGGAACCATGCAACAGGGTCAGTAACTATCCCACCTCCCCAGTCAGTCTGAACTGATGGCAGGAGATACTGATGCTCGCTTTACTCATCCTCATTCCCAGCTCATTTATTCTGCATTAATTCCGTTCACATGTCCCTAGCAGTCACGTCACCCCAGAAGCACTGACCTCTACTCTTCATAATCAGGAAACCCCAAAGCACTCGCCGTCACCTCCCTGATATCATCTTCAGCTCTACATCATCACATGTGGGCTCCAACTCTGCAGGGCAGATGTTCCCCACAGGGTCAGCCCCTGAACATTGGACCCAGATGTCCCCCATCTCTTCCCAGCCCTTTCTGTATTGCTGTGAATCTGTCCCTCACTGAGAACTGACAGGGAGATGTGGGGGAGGAGGGGAGATTTCTCTGTGCTGTGTCAAGGCATCAAGACAGACCTCTCCTTCTCTCCTGAACCTCACACTCTATCCCATCCCAGACACTTGAAATAAAACACAGACCAGAAATGTCTATTTAAACGTTAAATATCTATAGTATAAAATATGAAGACAGAGTAGAATAGGGTAATGCAGGAGAGTGGAACAGGGATGAGGGGACCTCAAGGTTCCAGAAAAGTTGGTCCTGGCTCCCCAGGAGGAACCGTCACCAGGACACTCACTCATAAAGCTCATCTATAATAATACAATTACTGCACATGTGATATATTAAAATATAATAACAAAATAACAAAAATAACATGGCACAGCTGCAAACACCTCATATATGGTAACGCTTATCATTCATTCAACCACAAGAAATAAATACTGTTAATTTCCCCATTTCATAGATGAGGAAACTGAGGCACCAAGAGGGAAAGTGCTGGTGAGACCCAGGCAGGGAGTTGAATCCAGGACGCCTGGCTGCAGAGTCTAGCCGCCCTCAGTGGAGCCAGTGGACCCAGGAGATGACACGGGAGACTGAAATCCCAGCTGTGCACTGCCCTGGTGGTCTCCTGTCCCAGCCAGGTGTTGATCCGGGCCTTGTAGGTTCCCATGCTCTGGAGAAAAGAGAAAAACAGTACATGTTCCACTGGGTGCAGGACGCTGCTTTTATTCCCTGAGGACTTCTCCCTCCTCAGTCACTCCAAAATCAGATTCACCCTGTCTCTGAGGGAAGATGACGTCCCCACTTTTTTCTCCCTCCCATGACACTTTTCCCAGCCCCTGCCAGTCCCCTCCCATGACTCTATCAGCATCAGCACCTGCCCTGTGCCCAGCACCCATCGCGCAGGGAGTGAAAGGACCCCAGGACTAAAGAACAAGACCCAGGAGGAAACTCAGTGCCCTTCCCTCCTCTCACGCCTGACCAGCCCTGACACAGTGGGAGGCCTCCCCAAAGAGAGGCCCTGGCCGTGTCTCCATGTCCCTCCAGACCTGGGCTGGGTCACACACACACAGGGTCCTTCTCCCCTTCAGTCCCCAGGCCCTCCTCATCTGCAGAGGCACCTGCACACCAGGGCAGACCCTGCACATTGTGGGTTCTACCCTCCACCTGCAGCTCAGCGTTTCTCCCCTCCTCGCTCTGAGCAGGCAGCTTCTACCTGGAGATCCCATCAGGAAGCCCTGGGGCTCACAGGCCCAGCATGGAAATACGTGGCTGGATGGAGTCTGCACCTAACCTGATGCTGGGGACCCCCTTGCTCAAGGAGCCCTCCCCTCCCCATAACCTACACTTGGGCTGTGATTGCCTATGCCTGGTGCACTCATCCCTGGAAACGCAGCTCCATCCCAGAACTGCTGCTTCCTGAGACTGCACAGCCTTCCTGCCGTGTTCCTAGCAGGGATTCCACCCAGGCCACTGCCATTGCAGCCCACAGGGGATCTTCTCCTTCTGCTTGTGGAGTAGGGGGTTTCTTCAGACGCCTCATCCTGAGGCTGCCTCCACCCTCTGCACCTGGTTATTGCCACTGCCACAGCCACAGTCTCCCACATGGACCCTCCGAGAAAGGAAGCTCCAAATTTGAGTTCCTGTTGCACTCAACATGCTTTACAGCATCAGTATTGGAGGACATCTTATTAAGATTATCCAGCTGAAATTATGTTGATGGACATCAACATTTAAAGCAGGAATTTTGAGAAATTAACTTGTGATTTTCATGCCCTTTTTCTGGCCAATATTCCAGTGACCTGTGAGAAAACCATTCCTGCCTACAGGGAAGCAGAATTGACAGTCGCTCTACAGGAGACACCACAGGTGAGAGCAGGAGGGACCACAGACCTGCACTGCCCCTGCTGTGAGTGCCTCCTGGACGGGGCCCTCTTGTTGCAGGGCAGGGGAAGAACCATCCCATCTGCTAAGGCCTGAGTGCAATTAGGTTCAAGGATGAGTCACCACTACCCCACTGGCCAGACACACAGAAGTGGGGAAATGGCAGAAAGACTCGGGTTTCCTGGACACCCCAGCCTCTCACTGTCTCCTGCACTGCCTCTGTCTTTACAAAAACACAAACTTTCTGCTTTCTCCTCTCCCCTCAAACAACTTGACTATGGGGAAAACAATTCTGACTGTCTCTTATTTTAAACTTGCCAGGCAATGAAAATGTTAAGAAAAACATTGGCTCAGGAAAGGCAAGGTGAGGCCACAAAGCACAGAACAAAGCCGCAAAAATGGGGATTAGGACTCTGGGGGCTGGAAAAAGAAATACCTGGACATAGGATGAAAACAGGGAACCAGCTGCCCTGGCAGGGTGCTGGTCCCCACTCCCCAAATTGCCCAGGGACACCTGCTTATCTACTCGTCCATATCATCTGCAAGGAAACATAGGGCGGCAGGGGCCACATGGTGAGAACCTGGAAAAAGCACAGCCTTGAGTGATCCAGAGGAAAAAGCACAGCCTTGAGTGACCCAGAGGACACAACACCCCCGAGAGAGAGCTCCCGGATGAGGCCCATGGGCAGCTGCACGGTGGAAGAGGACGGCCGTGTGCACTCAGGACCTTCCCTGGTACAAGGGAGGCCACAAAGGGAACTGCGCATGCAGGGGCCCTCCGTCAGCCTCGTGGGTCTTTTTCTTGGTGTCCTTCTGATGGCTGGAGAAACAGGGGAGAGTGATGCAGAGAGCAAGGGACTAGAGGCTCTGCCTGTCCTCGGATTCCTTTCTAGTTTCTAACCTGTCACCATATCACATCTGCCTTTACTATTGGCTCCCTCTGAGTCTATGATCATTCAGGCACGCAATTTTCAACTCATCCACCTAGATGCACCCTGGTAAGCCTGAGAGACAGACCGGGATGGGGACAGAGCAGGTGCCAGTCCTCACCTGCAGCAGGAGGAGGCCACAGCTGGACGTTCAAGGTCCTTGGCCCAGCCTTGGCTTTGGCAGAACTTAAGGGCGTCAAAAATAAGCTACACATGATGGTTCATTTTCAATTCTATGTTCCTCAGTATAGGTTCAACATGGACATAAAGAGACACATGGACACAAAGAGATAAAAAAGCAAAATGTACTAAGCCATCCCCAGCTCCTTCCTTCTTTCCTTTTGATGCACCGGCCAGATGCCGATCAGTTGGGGCCCCCTCGACGACCCCGTCCCCACCTCACCAAATAATTTAGTTTAGGCTAGCTTGCAATGTAGATAATTGTACCCTTTCTTATCACCTAAATGCAGCCATTAGGGCCATAAATTAAATGTTTAAGGAGTCCTGAGACAATCGCAATGCATTATGGGCTGCAACAAAATGCAGCAAAAAGACTGTAAAGAACATACTGGAAGCTTTAATCAAACTACAATAGGCAACATCCAGAAAGACTGTAACCCCGTAGTACTCAGCTAATGAGGAACTGGGGGAGGGACGTGGGCACTAGGGAATAAATTGTTTGTTGAAACCGTCCCTGGTGTGCCTGCATTCCAGACACCCGATACTGCAAAACTGTTGCTAAAAGTCTCACTTTCACTGTTCTCTGAGAGAGACAATTCTTTGGGTTTGGATGGGTGAGTTTGTTTCCTACAATCTAGCCGCCTGTATGGGGATCACTGAGCTTGCATGAAGTGAGACTTTGGCGGAAAGAGGAAAAGTGTACCACTGGATTCATGTGGCCCATTCTATCCAGATGTCCAGGTTCCCCACAGAAGCCATAGACAAACTTGAAACTGTTATTCAGAAGACAACGAAAGTGACACAGGGAAAAACAGAAAAGCAGGCACCGCGGCAACCAGGCAAACTTGTGCATAAGCCCAGGTAGGAAGATTGGACTATGAGCACTGCCTTGGTGGTTGGGCATTTTCGGAGGTCAAGTGTGTGTGACTGAGACATATCCTAGATATGAAGCGAGTGCGGAGACCCAATCCATGGTTCTGTTCTCCCAGGAAGGAAGCGACCAGAGATGGACAAAGCAGTTACAAAGCAGTTGACTTGCGAGTTGTGAAGAGACCTCCAGTAAGGGGGGCTGAGTACACAGGGGAACTCAGACTCAGGGAGCAACCGAAAATGGGAAGCAAGAATTCTAGGACTAGGGAACAAAGGAAGGAGGAAGCCGAGGAGGCCCCCTCCAGCATACCCCCAGATAGTCCACTGGGGAGGATGTTACAGGCTTGGGAGAATAACACTGGAACCAGGAATAAGGAATAATAATAATAAAAATAAAGTATTGCTGTTTTCTCCAGCCTAGAGAGCCCATTCGTCAGTCTTTTGGCCTAAGTTTAGCCCAAATAAGGACTGTGTATGCCAAGCTTTAATTCTTTATGTAAATGATAAATCCCCATCCTCACAAGAGGCGATGGATTATGCTGTTTGTTGAATTAGTAAATTAACCCCATGTTTCCCCTTAAAGAGAAATAAAAAGAGCATAGTAAAGAGCCCTCATCCAATGAAAAGCCTTGGGATCCCCTAACACGCTTGCCCTCATGCCATACATCTCACAAAGTAGAGGACAGGGAGATCAGGGGGCAACAGGAATGTTGGAGGAAAAGGAATCTGGGGGTCATGAAGGAGCTAAACCCTAAAATCCTTGTCCAAATTTAAGGGAAGAATTAGAACAATGTAAAAAGGATATTAATAATTTCCCTATTCCTTCTAAACAGCAGGGGTCTAACATGTATCCTCTCAGAAAAGTCCCTGTGGGACAGGGAAAAATTGGATTTGTGAGTACGCCTTTAACAAGTACTGAGGTTAGGAATTTTAAAATGGAAATGACGTCACTCTTAGAAGCTAGCTCTCAGTAAGGCTGCAGAGGGCCTGGGGGGCTACATAACGAAAATCAGAACGAGGATCACAAACTTAAGTGACTACAGGGTCAGCAAATAATAAAAAGGAGGGCTGCAGGGCTGGATGGGACCTGTGGCGGCTGCTCAGCTGTTCTTACAGTGCCGGCACTGTGTTGTCAGGAATAGCAGGACGGGTCTCATCTCCGTGGCCTCAACTTTGCCAACCTTACAGTGGCTCAAGAAGCGGGGACTCAGCCTGGCTGTGGAGAAGGGCCCCACCGAAATTTCAAGTCACCCAGCCCCACCCCAGCGATTGCTCACCCAATGAAAATGGACGCCTGGAGCTGAGGACCAATCAGAAGTGGGGAGGGTGGGGCCACACGCCAAATACAAAGTCCACGACCAATTACAGATTTCTTTGTTCTTTCTCCGCTCCCACTGCTAAAAAAAGAAAAAAGAAAAGAAAAAGAAAAAGAAAAACGTCTTCTCAATTAGATAACGGCGACTGTAGTACAACCTCGTGATTATGCTAAAAGCCACTGAACTGTACACTTGAAACAGGTAAATTACTAGGCACATGAATTATACCTCAAAAATAATAACGCCATTCAGAAAGCCTCTTTCGATTGAGAGAACTGCCTCCTCTCCAATACACATTTCTTAGTGTTCAGGGCACCTAGCCAGGAGTCCTCAAACCTATCTTCATAGAACCACCTGAAGAGTTTTTAATATCCACGGTCCCAGGCCACAGCCAAAACCAATGGAATCACAAAGCCTAGGTTACATCTAAGCCTTAGTATCTTTTAAAGCTCCCTGGATGGCTCCAATGTGTAGTCGAGTTTTAGAACCACTATGCTAGCCCACAGTTTGAACATCCCTGATGGTACCAATTCAGCCTGCCTTCAATCTCATCTATTATCTTTGCTTTTTTTCTCTTTTTTTCTTTTAGAACGATCTGGGGGATCTCACTCTGTCACCCAGTTGGAGTGCAGTGGCGTGATGACAGCTCACATCAGCCTCGAATGCCTGGGCTGGAGCAATCCTGCCACCTCAGCCTCCTGAGAAGTTGGGACTACAGGCGAGTGCCACCACGCCCAACTTTCATTTACCATCTGGTGCCATCCTCCATTAGACAATGAACCATCTGTGATCAGGAACTGTGTCTCTTCCATCTTCGTCAGCCTTACAAACGTATTTTTAAAATGGAACTCTACCTATGATTACTAACCATTCTCCAAGACCCCTAGCCTACACTTTTCTGTAGATGAAAATGTCATACATCACAGAGTTTTAACAATTACTCAGTTTTTCCATCCATATTCACTGATTATTTATTTTGATCATCATAATTTATTGAGCACAGCAGGGACTGGGGTCCTGTCCCCACCTTAGAGGGATTATTAACACTGCTAAAGGTCACAAGGGTAGTGAGGGTAGAGAGGGAGATGGACCCAGCTCTCCTGACACTGGTCCCAAGCCCTTCCCTCCACAGTGTCTACCCTCTCTCAAGGACTTTTTCTCCCTGCGCCAGGTACAGCAAAGGGTCTCATTTAGCTCACCCCCAAAAAGACTTTTAATACTTCAATGACGATGGTAATAATAATAATAATATGTAAAGCTTGTTCCAACGCATTTAGACGTGATCGCGACAAGACAAGAAGTCCATCCCTCCCTTTATGGGATAGGGGAGGCCGTGATGATCTTGGACTTCCGGTGAGTCGCTCCCCAGGGTCTAGGCCTGGCTGCCCCTCCCCAACCAAACCTCCCAGGTCTTTTCTGCCCAAAGCCCTCCCCCTCTACCCAACCTCCAGCCGCTTCTTCTCAGGCCCATCAACTACGTTTTCTCCCTCAGCACTCGCCTTAGATCCCTGGACTCACCAGCACACAGGCGATTTTCTCCTCGTAGACTTTAGGCGCCACTGCTGGGTCCGGAAAAGAAAGAGAAACGGCCCAGCACGGTCGCGGGTCGCGTGTGTAACTCAGGACGGGGATGCGGTGGAAGCCCGCGCGCGTTTTCAAGTCTGCGGCCCGGAGTTCACTGCGAGGACTGGGATCACCCGTCACCCCGCCCCGGGCTACGGAAAACGAAACGTGTTTACTGATATAGAAACGGAATAACGGCGCTGCGGGCTGGGGAGGGCCGAGCTGCCTTCAGGCTTCTGGTCTCCAGCTGCGGGTCACTCACACCTGCCGCTGTGAAATGCAGACCCGCGGGGCAGGAATTCCGAGTCCGGGCTGGAGCGCTATCTGGATTGTGACTCTCTTGAAACAGCACCGCGGTGGATTCGGGGCCGGGTGAGTAGGGAAATGCGCCTCAGCCCCTCCCACGGGCCGCCCACGGATTCCAGGATCCGAAAACGCTTCCTGCTGCTCCGCCACCCCTGGAAGGCAGCGCCCGCCTCTGGCCGGTTCTGATGGAAACCGGCTCCACTGCCCGCAGGAAAACCCACAACTAAGGGACCAGGAAAAAGCCTCTCAGGGTCCCGCCCCTTCAGTGAGGATCCTAATTTACACCCCGACTGTGGCCCAGTCACAGACTGGAGCGAAGGTCACCGAAATGATACAAGACCAGCCGGGCCCAGAGCGCTGCCGCTCACAGAATGCGGTGACGGCGCCACCTCGCGTCCCTTCCCTGACCTGCCTCAGGCGGACGCAGTGACGCGTGTTGCCTGGAGGCTGGAATACACCGGGGATCAAATGCAGAGAATGGAGAAAGGAGGGAAGGATGGGGGGACGTGTTGAAAAAAGGAGGGGAGAAGGAGAAAAGGGGAGAGAAAAGGTGACGGCGAGAATAATATTTAAAATATATGGTTTTATTATTTCTTTTATTTTTGCCCTTTATCTAATTTTGTTATTTATGAGCATTTTTACCGTAGCTATTTTTTCTTTGAGTGGGGATCTGTAAATATACAGCTCATTATGCTTATTTCAGAGCCTGCGAGATCAAGTTACAGACAATATGAGCTTCTACCTCCAGATGTGCCAGGGTGCATCTCTTGGGTACAAGAACAAGGGTTTGGTTTTGTTTTACAAAATCAAAGTACAAATCTCAAATAGGATAATATTTTTAAACCGTCATTGGGGCATACTTTGCATGCTATAAATGTATCTATTTGAAATGTACAGCTCATTGAGTTGTACTCTTTCTGTCATTGGGGCACACTTTGCATGCAATAAATGTATGTATTTGAAATGTACAGCTCATTGAGTTGTACTCTTTGGCTGTTTTACACACCCACGTGTCTGCTCTCACAATGAAGACAAATTACATTTCCATGGTGCCCTAAAGAACAGCCATGTAATAAAATTCCATGCAGTTGTTAAAAAGAGTAGGATGAATTTTTAAGTATTGCTATGAGAAGATCTGTGCCCAGCCTACTTTTACCCATTTTTAAAAGGACAAGGATATATGGAATTATAATGCCAGTAATACCACTTACATAATATATATTTTAAGTAGGAGAAAACCTTAAAATTACTCACCAAAATTTTGACAGGGACTGGGATAACTTTGTGACTTTCAGTTTCTCTGAAATATTGGCATTTTTTATTACAGTATAAACTTGGATTTTAGCCAGGCACGATGGCTCAGGCCTGTAATCCCAGCTCTGGAAGTTGAAGGATAGCCTGAGACCAGGAGTTCGAGGCTGCAGTGAGCTATGATCTCACCACTACACTCCAGCCTGGATGACAGAAAGAGAACTTGTCTCAAAAATAAATAAATAACATTTAAAAATAAAAATAACAAACTTGGATTTGTACGGTGCTTCAGAAAGAATATTTGTTTGAAAAATGTTATGAAGGTAATCAAATACTTACAGGAGTTTAAAAACCAAAGTGTTAATTAAAACCCAACTCCAGAAACTCTCTTTTAAGAGGACTTCATATTTTCATGGCATTGATTCCTTCTCAAAGTGCCTTTGATAGAGCTGTTCTTAGTGCAGTAGGGAGATGTGTAACAATTTTACAAAAGGGGCGGGCTGTAGTAAAAAGGAAAATGCAAAATCCAGTGGGGACATTCCATTTATTTTCAAAGCACGTTTGAAAACTGCGCTGCTATAGTGTCTTTGGGTTGAGACAAAGTCGAGGAAAATCTTGTTCCTGGAGTATTGATTTTCGTTTTCCAAGGGCCAAAGTCTTTCGAAGCAAGTCTAAAAACTCAGGCTGACTTCCGGATCTAGAGAAGTCTCTAGAAAGTTTGTGCAGGCCTCCAAGCTGTAAGAATCCAGCCCATCTTGGTGATGCTCTCTCGGGCTCCACCCAGTGACCATAACCGGAAGGACAGGACGCGGTGAAATGGCATCAGTGAGTCAGAGGCCAAAGGAGGATTCCAAGCCCCAGGGCGCAGGATGTGCTTTGTCATAGTGGGACTGGGGTAGGGAAGCGGAGGCAAGGACACTCAGGGAATAAATGGCAGAGGAAGCAGTCGCGCTAGGGAGGATCCAAAGCGTTCAGACTTCTCCTTTCTTTTCTTCCTGTTGGGTTGGAGGGGACCAACGTGGTACAGGGAAGGGAGGTCCGTGGGATGTAGAGAATGGAGTGGCTACAAAGGGGCGTTGCACGCCCCACCCAAGGGTCCTGGTTCTCTTCTCCCAGTTACTACTGATGAGTTCAAACTAGGCGGAGACCAAGATTTGTCCTTTGCAAACTAGACTCCTTATCTCGCACTCCGGCTGGTTTACTAAATCCATCCTAGTAAAACACAAAAACCAAGAACTGAATTCTGTGTGTGACATTTCTGACCTCTAGAAGGTCCTCCCCATCCCCATTCCTCGTGTGCTCCCTCCCTGCCTCGACCCCTCTGCTTTGTCTCCACTTTCCCATCCCTGTCCATCTATGGACCCCGCTCTTGAGTATCACCCCCTTCTTCAGAGGACGTCCCCTCGTGGAGTACAGACTCCTCCACCTCCAGGAAAAAGAGACAAAGTCCACTGAGAGGGACCTGAGAGACTCCTGTTACTCCGCCCCTGACGTCAGCCTGTCCCAGGGTTCTCTCAGGCTGTGTATGTGTGAATGAGTGCGTGCCTGTGTGTGTGCATGTGTGTGTGTGAATCTGTGTGTGAGAGTGTGTCTAAATATGTGTGTGAGTGTGTGTGCAAGTGTGTGTTCCTGTGTGTATGAGTTAGTGTGTGTGTGAGTCTGTGTTTATGTGAGATACAGAGAGAGAGAGAGAGAGAGAGAGTGTGTGTGTGTGTGTGTGTGAGTGAGAGTCAAAGTGCTAAACCTGGCATCCAGGAAACCCTCACCTTGGCATTGCATGCAGGAATCAGCGTTATGTGCACCTGTGCTTTTATTTCAGGAGCTGGGACAATTATATTAAGCAGATGTGCAGCGTGCCAAGGTCCCCACCACAAAAAGCATTAGAGAGGAGGGTGAGATTGGAGGGGCCCCTGACTCCAAGTCTCCTGATTCCTTCTACACATGGGGATCTTGAAAAAAAGTGCAGGACACTCCATTCCCTCCTGGGACCGAGAGGGAAGCCAGAGCCAACGTGCATGTCAAATTCCATCAAAGAAAAACTATTATAGCAAAATTTCCATGTCACATTTTTAAATTTACACAATGGCTCAAATAGAACCACCATCAAAAAAACGAATTCCTGGCTCAGGTGAGATCACTGAAGTTGGCTGCCAGGCGTAAGGAAACTGCAGATATAAAGAAGGACACCTCTAGTTAGGGCTGCAGCCCAGTCGCCCCTGCATCTTAGGGCCCCTGGAAAGGACCCTCTCCATTCGATAGTGCAGGGTGAGGCAATTTTCGGTGAGAAATGTAGACGCTCCTTAGACCCCTGGAGTTTGTACATTTACTTTTTTTGTAAATGTTGATTTCATTTTTGAACAAATTACCGTTATATAATTTGCTTTGACTTTAAGTGCAAAACAGGAAATGTTCCTGAAACAGGAAACAAGGGACAGATGACCTGCACTGTCACCCCCCTCTGTGGCTCCCTGATGCAATAAAATTGAACCTCTGCCTCCCAGGTTCAAGCGATTCCCCTGCCCCAGCCTCCCAAGTAGCTGGGACTACAGGCACCCGCCACCATGCCCGGCTAATTTTTTATACTTTGAGTAGAGACGGGGTTCCACCATGTTGGCCAGGGTAGTCTCAAACTCCTGATCTCACGATCTGCCTGCCTCAGTCTCCCAAAGTGCTGGGATTACGGTGGCCTGCCTGGGCCAGTTTGTGGGTTTTTATTCCTCCTTCTTGTCTGCCAGGCCATTGCAGGCAATCCCCTCATCTGGTAAATATTTATCAAACACCTACTGTGTGCCAGGCATTTTGTTAAAGGAACTAGGGCTGAGGTAAGACAAACCAAACTCCCCTTGCCTTCGAGGTTGAGCCAGTCTTGCACAGGCGGAGATCAGTAAGGAAATTCTTGCACAAATGGTTGGCAGAACATGCAACTAGCTTTGTGGATGCACATGTAGACCATCTGCTCTGACCAAGGAGTCACAGAAGCTTCATAAGAGACAACATTTGAGCTGTATTTTGAGGTATAACTAGGAGCCTGACAGGCATCCAGGACAGGAGAGCATTGCTCGGAACCCAGGACATGAATTTTTCTCCCTTAGGCCAGGCCAGGACTCAGACTAAGCTGACTGAGGAGCCAGGTGCTTCCTGGCAAGGAAGTGTGTCCCATATATGACTGTCCAGAAGTCACAGCTGCTCAATATTGAGTCTTGAGACAAAGAGAGAGAGGCTTGATTTGAAAAAGCAAAATTCTGCTGGGGGCCTTCTTAAAATGCAGTTTCTGATTCAGTAGATCCAAGGCAGGAACTGAAAATTGCATTTCTAACAAGTTCTCAGGTGATGCCAATGCTACCCTGGACCACACTTTGAGAATCACCACCCTAAGGCCGTCCACACTGATTTCTAACATCAGAAGAGGGCTGAGAGGTGGAAGTATAGATACACTAGACCATGCCTGGCCCATCCTGGAGAGCACCCCAGCCAAGGCTGCAGCGTTTGATTTCCTTGGGATCCCAGGAATGGCAGACACCCAGGAATTAATCAAATGTGGGGATACAGGGCAATCCAGAGACTCAGCTTCACACAGCATCTGGGGCTCCCACTACTTCACAATTGGCCCCCACACCCTCAATCTTTCCCACCCCTTATGAAACTGACCTACAGGCCTTTGACTGCTGTCCTGGGCTGTTTGGGCCTGGGATGTGACCCTAGAAGCTCTGACTGTACCTTCTGATCCAAACACAGGGTGACTTCATATGACAAATACTTAGAATGGGCTCATAATAAGGACCTTCCAAATTCAGCAAAGGGTTCAATCATGGGTTTTCCAGAAGAATTACCCAAGTGTTCTCTCTTCTAAATATCACATACTTGAGCCCACATGGACAGCAGAGGGAGTTCTGAGCCCACTGAAGCCACAATTGGCACACTGGACCCCAAAGAATTCCTTGTGGATTGAACTTCACCATTTACATCAGGATTTGGTCAAAATTTCCTTCACCAAGCCAATTGCATTTGTTAATTAATCATGCGCTCATTTTGCTTTTTAATGAATGACAGACACACACATAAAGAAAGATAGTGCAATAAAAAAGAAAACAACATACTGAATTATACTGGTAATAAACATCCTTGTTTAAGGAGTGATATAACTTTTGAAACAGTGTTTTTTCTATTAAGGAAGGTAAAAGAATTAATTCTGTCAGGGTTTGGTTTTTTTAAGTTTTTTTATTTTGAAGCATTTGGTTTTGTTTGTTTTCTCTCCTTTGGAATTATATTTTATTTTATGTTTTGACTTGGCTCAAAATTCAAAATTTAAAAGACTCTCTCTTATTCTGCCCCATCTTGACAGGTAGCCATTTATATCAGTTTCTTGCTTATTCTTTCAAAGACATTTTGTGCATATGCAAGCAAATATAAATGTATATGTATATAATCTTTCTCCCATTTCACTCAAATTCTAGCAAACTACATCTGCTTTCCTGCAACTTGCCTTTTCCCTTTACATTGTGTCACAAAGACCATCTCATGAAGAAATACCAAAAGCTTTCCTACATCTTTGTGTCTTTGTTTGAAATTTTCATGATACTCCATTGTATAGATATGCAATATTTTAAAAAAAAAAAGAGAATGCTTCTTTTGAGTGCAGTGCTTTTTAACCAGCCCCCTTCTGATAGGCATTTGGATTATTTCTTTCACAGAACAATTCTGCATCATGTAGCATCATGTGAAAAACTGTAGTGAGCCCACTCCTAGATGCATATTCTAGGGGAACTCACATATCCCTGAGAGCAGGAGGCAATGTCCCAGGATGCTCATTGCAGTGAGGTCTACAATAGAGACAACCGAAAGGTCAATGAAGAGCGAAAGAGATAAATTGTAGCATATTCCTTGCCTGGAATACTATCCAGCAATGAAAACCAATTAACTGTTTGTATGAACACAGATTCATCTCACAGACCATGGTAACTGAAAAAGCAAGAAATGAATGACAAAATCAGAAAGAAACTATTTAAAAGAAGTCTAAAAGCAAAGCCAGGCAAGATGGCCTTGACTTGTAATCCTAGCACTTTGGGAGGCCATGGTGGGTGGATCACTTGAGTTCAGGAGTTTGAGACCAGCCTGGGAAACATGGCAAAAACCCCTCTCTCCAAAACACACAAAAATTGGCCCGGCATGGTGGAGCACAGCTATACTCCCAGCTACTTGGGTGGCTGAGGTGGGCGGATCACTTGAACCTGGGAGGTTGAGGTACAGTGAGCTGTGTTTGTGCCACTGCAGTCAAGCATGGGTGACAGAGTGAGACCTGGTCTAAAATAACAAGTCTAAAAGACTTCAAACAAGGAGACTTCCTAAAACTTAGTAAAAATATAACAGAATACACCAAATTCAAGACACACATCCACCTGCAATTCTTGATCTGCTCAGTACAGTATTGACTGAAACACATGCATATCAGAACTGTGAAAAATCAAGGCCATCTACATATATTTCTACTATTTTTCTGTGTATACTACATATAGCCAATAATATTAAAATGTCACCAATTGACAAACCTGGGTGGTGCCTTCACAAATATTTTTTATAATTTTCTATTCCTTCTTCCAGCTAGGACTACTTCGAATTAATATTTGTGAAGTGAATCCACAGGAACTGAGCAAAATAAGAAAAGAGTTATTGAGTGTGAGGAAAGCTGTGGAGAGGTACAGACAGATGGAGAGATGATAACACTGAGCATGTCAGTGACCTTCACAGTAACAGACTTCCAGGAGGACTCTGAGCTGGAGCCAGAATGAAGAGGATAGAATATAAAAGAGGGATGAAGGAGTGGGGACTTTAGGGGGCAAATATAGGATTGAGTGGGCCAGACTGGGAAGTGTGGATGGATTCTAAACATTCCACTTTAGGTCTAGCACTTAGGGAAAGAGAAATCACATTTATTTAGCCCCTTCCACAATCTTTAGAGAAATCTTCTGAAACATTACAAAAAAGACACATGAATGGCCAATAGTCATCAGGGGATAATACCAAGTAAAACCACAGTGAGAAACCACTAAGCACTTATTAGAATGGCTGAAATTTAAATGATTAATAAATATAAATGTTGGCAAGGATGTGAAACAGTCTTATCCATTGCCTATAAGAATATAAAACAGCCACTCTGAAAATCAGTTTTATATCATCTAATAAAGCTAAATGAGCTAATATTCTATGGCTAGCATTTCCACTCCTAGGTATTTACTCAAGCAAAATAAAGATTATGTCCAAGAATCCCTGTGCAATAATGTCCATAGTTCCTTTATTTGTAACAATAAAAAACTGGGAATACCCCCACAATGTACAAAAAAATTGTGACTCAATAATACAATGGAATACTACCAGTATTAAAAATGGATGAACTACTGATACATGCAACAACCTGGGTAGACCACATAGATATTACACCAAGTGCAAAAAGCCAGACATGATGGAGGCCATATGGGATGAGTGGACATGTATTAAGTTTTGAAACAGGAACAGCTACTCTATCATGATAGTCATCAGATCAATGGCTGCTGGGGAAAGGGGGCTAAGCTGAACGCAGACGAAAGATAATTTTGTGTATTTTGATAGTGGCATGGGTGAATGACTGTATTTGTCAACATTCATTGATGAATTTGACACAGATCTGATCATTTCAGCATATGTAAATTTTACAAGTTTAAAATGCTTACAGTAAAAATTTAAATGTTAGTAATAAAAAATAGCAATAGAAAATTTTGGCAACAAAATCCAACAACAGATCAAAA